TAAAGATATTTTATTAAGTAGAGTTAATAATAATTCTAATAATTAATCGATGAATGACAATCAGCTAATCAACCTCATTTTCAACCTTACAGGAAAACAGTTTCTTGATTTAAAAAAAAGACTATTTTTCAACCACATAAAGCTTTGAGATTTTTTTTTTATAATTTTAATCTTGAATCTTTCATAATTTTCCTATATAAAAGCAATTTATTAAAATTAAATATCTTGAGTAACATGGAATTTATTTTAAATAAGGAACACGGCAGATGATCTCGATCGCCTCCCAGCTAATCCAGCTCTAATAAAAAAAATCATTTACCGGTTTTTCTGTTTTTAGTTAGTTAAATTTATTCAGTTGCTTTAAATATTTCACCTTTAATATTTCACGTATTTTCCCCGTTGTAAAGGTTAAGAAAAAATTTTACGTTTTTTTTTTTTTTGCAAGGAAAGGTCATGTTTTGTTCATAAATAGAAGCCTAGTCAGCGTTTCCTCAATAGAGTTCATTGTATTTTGTTAGCATGTTCTATTTAATTCCGGAGAATTAGAGTAGGAAAGCTCCATATTTGTAATGCAAACACACCCATGCAAAATCTGGCAACATGGAAACTCTATATTTCAAATTATTTAAATAAAATCCATACAGAGCAACTTTCTTTCATGAAAAACATGGTTATTTTTGTTATTTGATATAAAAATTGTCCCAATTGATCTCAATGTATTTTGGTTTATTTATTTCCTATATTTTAGCTGAATTATTCCTTCCGTTGAAAAAAAAAACACATTTCAAAATCTTAGAAACATTTTAAATTTTAAGCTATTAAGCTTAATTTTCCAAAAGGATACTGTTTCAAATTATTATTCAAACGATATGATTTACCTTTTGATTTCTTTTAAACTATGTACATCTTTTGAGAAATAATAACTTTGTGACAAATTCATTTAATATTATAATTGGTTCGAAGCAACATTCAAATTAATGCATTTACTGGCGCTGCAACAAGCAATGAGATATTCTCATCCCATCCGCAGTTTGCTCGCGTGTGCCGCCGGATGAATGTTTAAAGGAGCCAAATGCGCGCCAATTAGGAATTCCAAAAACGAAACAGCGCATCATTCAAAATGGTACACTCGCGTTCTCCGCTCAACGCATGGTTGGCTGACACAATGTAAAGGAAAAAGGTATAAAAGCTGCTTAAAAATAGATAAATCACCGCAGCACCGTCAGGCAAAGAATGAAAGAAAGGGCAGCTGCTGAATCGGGTATTTGAACCGAGACGTATTTTTCTGTGCGCGGCGGTGGGAACGGATTTGCATACACACGCGACGCCATTTCCATAAAATATATTACATCCCGAAGCGGCAACAATCTTTCCATTTTCCATCTAACATCGCTCGCGCGCGTATAATAAGCCCCTGGTTGGTCTCGAACACGATTTCTGAATTAGACCGGCCGTTATTGCAGTCACGAATGCAGTTATCACCAAATCGACAGGCGTTTTTCTTTTTTTATTTCAGCTATGGAAGTATGAAGAATCAAGTTAAAGTTGCCGCTGCGCGAGATGGCGCGTTTAAAGGATGATGGAATAATTTGATTTTTGCGCCATCCTGCTCGTCTGGCGGTGCCAGCCAGTTAATTATACATCTGCTCTCGCACTTGCCAATTGAAACCGCCATTAATGCGGATGCGGAACGCGAAGGCAGATGAAAAAGCCCAAATCTGACAGCTCTCCCGGGATTCTGAAAATGAACGCCAGCAGAACACCAACCACCGGAGAGGAAAATTTGCATTTAGCAGGTATGCCGATAATTGAAGTTAAATGAACGTGTTCAATTTATTTTCACGAGTTAAAAGGGTGATTACTTTTTTGCTGATGAAATAATTACGCATTGATTAAGCTCTAGATGAGCAGGAATGAAAACTGATTGATTGCAGCGCTTTTTCCATGCATATTAATTGCTCTAAAAGGCGCTCTAGGATAAAAAGACATAGGCTGGACGATTTAATCCAAATCAGAAAATAATTAAATATGATTTGTTAAATTATTGAAGAAAAAATGTTTCTTATTATGAACCAATTTTATCTTTTAAATTCAACAGTTTCACTGCTGAAGAAAACAACTTTATTTTGTGCGAAGTTGTGATCTCCCTTTTTTACATTCTCTCTGAATTTGGAATAAACGATAAAAATTGACGGGAGGCGGTAAAATTTATTTCGGTGTCGCAATTTTTTTTTCAATCTATTCCATTGTTAAAATTCACTCGATGGTGAGCATTTATTGCGAGGAAAAAGGCTTTCAGAGCGACGAGCTTATCGCGTGTCAATTTCCAGCGTAATTGCGTATCACGAATTTGACGCCTGCGAAAAAGCAGCGCGTGTCCTTGGGGAAATTTCGCGTTTGCACAGAGAGAGAGGGAAAAATCGGCAAAAATTATCCGGCTGTGACGCGAGCGAGCGGAATTCAGTTCGCTTCATTAGACGCAATAGCATAAAAAATGTCTCATTCCGTCGGTGCCGAGTCTCGTGAGGACGCTTTGCACGCACAAATTGCGGATGACAAGAGCGCGAGAAAGCGCAGAGAGATTCAAATTTGGGGGCAGGAAAAGGCATATTATTCACAATTTGTATAAACACGCTCGTCGGGCCAGCTATAAATTTCGGCGGTTGAATTGCGAGACGCATGATACACATTTTTCGCGGTCGTCTCGAGGGCATTGTTGCCGCCCACGCCTCTTGCAGTAGCCGAATTTATGCTCATCACGAGAGCCGACCGCCGTCGATTCCTCTTCATTTTCCAGCCAAAACGAGAAGCTCCTGTACATTTGTCACCCCCATGCCCAGGTATTTTCACTCTGCAGGCACGTCGGCATTAAGGAGAAGGATATAATGGCCCAGCGTCCGTCTGTCCGTCCCTCGTAATTACATCATTTCATGCTGCTTCACCTCAATGGTGAGGATGACGGAGTGTTTTTGCTCTATTATTATCTCTGTTTACGCTCCCAGATAAGCAAATTTGATCTCTTTTGTCTCGGCACCAAACTTTCAGTGTCTTTTAATAATGGCCGGGACAAAATTAGGACTCTAAAAAGAGCGCGAGTCTTTCAGAGAATATTTCAACAAAGATATAAACAAAAGAAAAATAAATAGCAATGAAAATACAATAAAAATTGTCAAAAGCAAATTTAGATATAGAATTCCTGCTGGTATTAATTTCATATTTTTTTTTTATAAATAAAGTATTTCATATTTCCGAATGTGACCTTGAAAGGAAAAGAAAAAATGTCACTTTTACAAATTTGACGTTGCAATAAAATAGAATGTTTTAATTAGTTGAATAATTTTAAAATAAATACCACGTGTTAAAATGATTTGAATGTTATATAAATTGATATTTTTCTATAAAATGTCTTGCATGGCATGAAAAAATTTACCGCCCGCTAATTAGAAAAAAACAAAACTGATTCAGACCTATGAGCGACAATGATGCGGAAATTTAGTCATACCAACTCTCTTACTCTATAACTCATGTACTTTGTGAATCTCAAAGCAAAGCTATAGCCAATAATTCTTCAAACTTATTTTACATGTCAGTTTTCCATTCCATAAACCATCTTTATGTCAGATTTTTGTCTTTGTGGACAAAGTTTACCAAGTGCAAAGTGAATCAAAAAAGCCACGCGCTTTTCTTTTTCTGCAAAAAAGTGGCACAATTGTAGTCTGTCTCAGCAGCAATATTATTGATTGCGTGTGGCCTATTGTGAGGTTTTTAATAAGGCATCACTGAGTGCTTCAAAAGAGAAAAAAAATTTATTGAAGCCTCTCTCGCTATCAAGTTGCTTCTATTTGAGCCACTTATCGCTTTATGTGGCGTATTTCATTTCATTTCGGAATTTTCATTTCGCGTCGGGAAGCCATGTTGCGATTAATCACACAGCAAAAGCTTTTTGAGCCCATTGTCACAGACAGTGACCGATCTCTCGTTCAATCAAAATCTCGTTAAATTACTAATAATTCAATAGTTATTATTAATCGTGATTATCTCTTCATACACTTTGATGAACATGCAATTACAAAATTGAGTAATACAGAATCATACAAAATGAAATTAATTTCGATTCGCAAAAAGTAGATTAATTGTAAGATTGAAGTTTTATTCTGTAAAGCTAGCTTGTTGCATTTTCAACTTTGACGGAATTGTTCTTCTCTCTAAAAAAATTTTACTTTGTATCATTTTTAATTTTGGTAAGGATGAAATAATTTTTCTATTAAAAAAATTATTTCACCCAAATTGTGAAGCAAGGAGATTAAGATAATATTTAATATATTATGGCAGCGGTAATAAATCACCAGAAAATTAATTGCCTCAAAATATCGGAAGCTTCGTGGATTGTATTAATTATTTTATTGCTCCGAGATTTGATATTTTCATACGATTTTTCTTCCTCCGTGAAAAAATTAGTTGGCAATTAAATGCAGATAACATGCGTTGTAGAATGTGGAGCAAACGAATTTGAAAATTGACTTTCAATCATGTTATCTGCGTGCTCTCGGGTTCTAGGACGGCATCGTCACGCAATTTATTCCCTCAACTAAAGCTACGGCACGGGTGGGTCTGTGCCGTTTTAAAATTATAATTCACACTGCGCGGCATAAATATTCATCAAGTGCATTAAGCTGGGTGAGCTACACAATATATATATTCGAATAAACATAATTAAAGGCTACGATCTTCTCTGCATTATAAATGAGGGGTTTGAAAAAAATTCAGGCTTAGTTTCAGCCGTTTTTTGTAGAACGATCAGAAGAGAAAGCTCCATAATTCCATTCGCGTCCTTTTCCTACAGCAGCTCTCCTCTCTGACGAATATAATTGAGTTTTTCCGGTCTGGTTATTCCCTTTTTTGGGGCGGAATATTACAAAGGAGCTGGCAAATCCACTCTGCTGGGGAGCAGCGGAGGCGGACAAAAAAAATTGGAAGAGCAAATATTGTTCTCCACTTACCGTTATTGAAGTACTTTCATGAAAAGAGGTTGGACTGGTTGGAGGACGACTTGGAAGCGTTTTTTTGCTGGTTATTATTATTTGTCGATGCCAAAAGCGAGTGATGGAATTTCAACAGTTTGCCGCCGAAAACGTCCGCCCTGCTTTGTAAGAGTATTGGTAAAGGAGTTTCACCCGGGGCACAAACAAGAGTTCGAACTTGTTGACAATCTCGTTGCCTGTCTGTCTCTCTGTGACGAAGGAACTCCCTTTTCTCCCTTCGGTTCCGAGTTGAGAAGAAGAAAGGAAGAGGGAAGAAAGAGCGCGGCGGCCGACTAGGTCACCATCACACCCTTGGCGCCCTCCAATCGCAAAGACCAATTATTCGAGCGCTCTCCCTTTGGGGCGACGCACGCGGCCGACCGACGTACGGACGACGACCAGCCAGCGAGCAGACGTCTCTGATCGGCGGCGGCCCCAAGTCGAGTAGCACAAACGCCGAGAGAGAGCGAGCGGGTTGCCTGCTGGCCAGGGGGCGCGCGCGCACCCCATCGCATAAAGGCGCCGCGCGGCGCCGTTTATGCTCTGAGTGAATTATAATGCAAGCAGCTGCTGACTGAGGCACTGGGCCACCGACTTGCAGCTGCGGGTCATGGGGTTGCAACAAAAGAGGGCTGTGTATATTTTCGTAAAGGAAAGCAGAGACAAAGAAGGGCGACACCGAGGGGCTTGGGTTCAGCTCTGGTTTTGCACTATGTCTTTAATTAAAGTTGTCCCGACAAACTGTGCTTGTAAATTAAATTAGTTAGCTTATGATGTTTATTAATTTTGTATAATATTTATAAAAATATTGCCTAAAACCTGATTTTATTGCCTTTTTTTATTTAAATAATTTATTTTTTATTTTTTAAATATTCGGCATTCAAAAGAACCAATCTATTTTTCAGTTTCTTTAGCTATGTTGTTTGAATTTTACAATTTTTATGATCGTTTTTGAATAGGTTTCCGATTTGTGTGTTGTTTATACTTTCAGTAAAAATATCATAACTATCCTTCTCTTCATATTTTGACCACTGCAGGTAATGCATTTTTTTTTGCACAGGAAACAAGATATTAAGTATGATTAAGCAGTTTATTATCTTATCACACTTATCAGCTAAGCGATGGCAGGTTTTGAGTTTTTTCATTTCTATTTGTTTTGGGAGGGTAAAAATAAGAACTATATTATACTGTATAAGATACTTGAAATTGACTTCCCTTTATAGGAACAAGAAAATTGGAGTTGCATTTGCTTTCACGTACACAACTTCAAGATATAATATCAAAATATTCTTCTTTTGCATGGATAGCTTCTACTTTGAAGAAAAGGCAGAGTAGATAAAGGAGAAACTAGATCAACACTTTTATCCAACTTTATTACATACAACTATATAGTCTTTCATGATTTTCTGCACGACTGCATTCCTTCATAAATCTTGAACTTCATAAGAATCGCTTTTGTTGAGCGAAAAATTCACAGAGAAGGAGATTGCTTTTTCTGTTTGCTCTCGTGGGAAACAGAGAAATTAATTTTAAAATGGTAGAAACAGAACAATTCATCTGGACTATATTTATAATTTTACATTATATGTACAAATATTTCAATACGATGTTTTTTTTCTTTCAAAATTATGTTGAAATTAAATCTGAAGTGTATTCTATGAAATATTTTTTGCGCAGAATCTGCAACTTTTAGATTGCACAGAAAGAAAAATTTGTTTCGCTGATCAAACCAAAATCACGAATGAGTCGAACGACTATAGAAGGTTCTCTTGAAAAGCAAACTTTTGTGTTATAAATTCTTGCGGCCGCTGCACACGCTCGGGCGGGCACTCAAGGTGAATTTCTTTCCAGCTCATTACCTTGAGTCAGGCGCGTGTTCTTGGGGCCTTCGTGGCCAGCAAAGAAAATTTCCGATCACGAGTCTATTTTTCAGCAGAGCGTTATAAATTACCAAGTGCACGCGGCATCAATATTCCGTCGAAGCTAACAAGTTACAACATCTGGCCTGTTATGAATCAGTAGCATCATAATGCATTGGACGCGCGCCAGGAATGGAAATTAGACTCGCATTCATGCCGCCGTTTCGTTAAATTCTCTCCCGATATAAATCTCACGGAGCGCAACAAGAAGTTGTCGTGGAGCGCCTGTCGTTGCGAAGACCCACAGTATTGCCAAACAGCCACGTCGCGCCGGTTGCATAACTTTCCTTATTACAATGCGTCTGGCAATGCCAATTTTCGTCTCAGACTATTTCATATTGTACGAATGTTTTTTTGTCTCAAATTTCCAGGAATGTGATTGAAGTCATAATATGGACGAAGAGAGCTCCATTTAAGGAAAAATTTTCATAGAAATGATTTGATGATAACGTTTCTGTCAATATTTTTGTATTTTATCATTAGAATGGGAAAATCAAAACGAACTTGGCTCGAGTCTTTTTCCGTGAAGAAATGTTGCAATATCTTCATGTTGTAAAATGAGCCAATTTTTTAAATCCGTATCGGACAGATTCTCCAAAATAAAAATGCTTGCAGAATAGGAAGGTCTTTTGTTTTGCCTTTGATTAGAATGCATTCATCTGAATGATATTTTTAAATTAGGAAAGGAGTTTTTTGAACTTAATTATTTGCCTATTTTTTTTCTTAGGTCTCGTCAAAAAAATATCGGAAAATGTAACTTTCTCAAACTCTAAAGGAATTGAAATGTTTCTCATAATCATTTAGAACGTTCCCCAGACTAATTAAATTATACATCTTTGTTAGATTATATCTGCATCACAATTGCTAAAATGAATTTTTAGCATTTATGAGTTAGGTGAAAGTGACAAAAGGAAATTATGCATATTCTTATATAATCTTGTTAAAAGCTCGTAATGGCCGCGCTTCTAACAAGCACTAATTTTGTTAATTTTGACCATTTGGCCCAGGAAAGGTGTGCTCGATTTGCATAGTAAATTAAAAGACGTGAGGCGTGTCAGTCGCTCTCTCGGCACAAACCAGCCCATTTTCAACACAATCTTGTCGGCAGCTCTGCAGCCGGAGGTGTTAAGTGATGAGGCGAAACGCTCTTATAATAATGCCCGTCACCAAGGCTGCCTTGATGATAGCACTAGGAGGGCGTCGTTTTACCAAAAACGCCATTTTCAGCATCCAAATCTCATTTCCAAAGCGGATATAGACGCGGAATGAATAATCCCCTGCGTAAAAATGTACGTGCGTAATGTGCTTCCATAAATGAGCATTTTAAAAAATAATGTGTAGGATGCAAAAGATTTAAATAAATATTTTGTCCTTGCGTAAAAAAGTTAACGAAAAAATAAATTATAATGGTTTTACGCTTACTCAGGATAAACAGTGACAGTGAAAAACGTTAATTTTAAAATAAATCCTATTTATATTCTTCTATTTTCCATTTAAGCCTGATTTAATCCTGTTGTAAATCAATCCCCCTCAAATCCCAACAATTGGATGAATGACTCGATTTGTGACTTAAGAGGACGAACAACAATAATAATTTAAAATGAAGCTGCTCAATAATTCTGCATTTTTTTATAATAAAAATTTTATTATTTGGCATTGAATACTTTTTTATTCCAAATAAAGAAAAATTGCCAATTTAAATAGAAGCACAAAAAAATAAGTAAGTAATCAATTATGGAGTGAAAGATATAGTTCTATTTATATTTTATTTTTGAAAGATGATTGGAAAAGAATTTAAAATTTGAAAATAGGGAAATAGTATAGAAAGTATTTAATTTCAAATTAATTTGCCCTCCTAATCATGCTAATTAATAATTAAAACTTCGTGATTTGCTCCCTGTGTAACACTGTCCTGTATAAAATCTCTGGCGCTCATGCAAATTTTATGGCTAGTGGGCGGCTTGTATACACCGAAAATAACTGGGTGCGTTATCCCCCTTATCTCCTCGAATTGCCTAATGAATTTTAATTTTTAAAGCGAGTCGTTTGCATCATCGCGAGTGGCGTTTCCTGGAAAAATGGCGGAGCAGCGGCATCTTTTTCGAGGAGAAAATAACGTCCTCATTTTAGGTAACGACCGCCTCCCTATCTTATCTACTTGCGAGTAAATATGAAGTCGCTCTTTCAATTTTCTCCCCAAAATGCTGCTCGGCAAAATTCAAAAGTTTTCCCCCATTTCTGTGCATGTGCAAGCGTTCCCTAAGGTGTGAATTTAATACGGCAAGGAAGCTAGTGTTTTCAACCCATTATTTTTAATAAAACTCTTATTCAACTCACAATACATTACAAAAGTTTTCTTTTACACGGTCTTTCACTAATTAAATGGTAATATAACAGAGCTCTCGCAAACTCAGGTTGTGTAGAAACAAATGCTGTTGTAATTTATTCGACGACCTATTAATTTAAATTTTGGTGGAAAATATAAAACGTTCTTGAGGCGAAAATTTTCTCGTTTCAAAACTTTCAAAAGGAATAAATATAATAATATTAATATTCGGTGTTATCACTTAATTTATTGTTAAACGTGCACCTCGATTTGGGCAGAGATTGACTTGTGGTACACAAATAAACTTCATTTAATACCAAACAAAATTAAATTAAAATTATTGATGCTAAAATGTTATAGAATATTATTAAATTAAATTCGTCAACAACCAAAGTTTTTTATTTCATCTAATTAAAAAAATTGGATGGTTAAATTTAATTTTCTGATTTGCAAAGAAATTAAAAGGGAATTTCAGTATGTAAATTTCAATTGATTACACTAAATTTCACCAAAATCACATTGACCACGATTTTTCTTAGTTTATTAATGATGAATTCATTAACAACTTTGTAAGTGGCCAGGATTATTTTATTAAAAACAAAAAAACTAAATAAAATACCTTTTTATCTTTTTTGTAAAACATTTTTTTGTATGGATTTATAGGGGTTTGGTGGCACCAAGGTAAGCAGCGAGGCAACTATAGCCCTTTAAATATTTTGCTCTACATTTTTTATTGGGTCGCCTCTGCTTTTGTTAGCCCATTTCGTTCCACCGTTCATCCCGCCTTTTTCCTTGGATAGATCTTGATATTTATTGGATAAACACGCAGCTGACAAGTTGTGGTGCAGCACAGTCTATTTTATTACGTGAATGCTGGAGAGCGTTGCGGGGAAAGATAACAAAGGTCCGTGGGGATTTCCCGACAAAGATGGTTAACCTCGGAGTAAAGCAACGGCAGGTTTATAAATCCATTGTTGGTTGGCCTCTCGTTTTCTTTCCGTGTCTGTGTTGTGGATCGCGACCACACACTAATGGGCCGAAGAAGAAAAATTAGCCGCCCGCCCTTAGCGATTGTCGAGGGCTATATTTTGTGACCGCGGGGAAGAGGGGGCGAAGACGTTTCAAATTAGACCAGTGTTTCAGAGTCTCACAAATTAAATTCCGCTGCCGAAATCCGTTGAAATTAAATTTGTTCGGGGCGCTGCGCTGCTTTAATGAGCAAAACTTT